AACTTTAATATTATTCAAATATAAATTAATTGTAATAATGTTTAATATATATTTTATTATTCTTGTATAAATTATTTTATATCGTGAATGTTTTAGAATATTTATATTATGATGCTGTAATAAATTAAATTATCCATAATATACAGGCCTATATTTAAATTAAATTTAAGTGTTAAGAAACTAAAAGTTATTTTTATTGCGTTAATTTTAGAAAATTATGTAATAATTAATAAAATAAAATTAAAACTTTATATTATATTCGCTAGCTGACAGTACTAATTTCTTACTATTAGTTACTGCAGAGTGTAACGATGATTTTGAGATTGATTAATCACGTGATCCGATTAACTGTACGTCGTTATTGGCAAAACTATTCACTATTCGCGATCGACTAATCACGAATAGTTGATATATTCGTTTAATATATGATCTTCTTTATTGTGATTCTTTACTATAAGAAGTTTATACCACTGCAAAACCATCATCGTGAAGCACTAATGATGCTCTCTCTTCCCACAAAAATTAACATTATAGAATACTATGTAAGTTTTAATATTACCTTTAAAGCAATATTAAACATGTATTCAATATTATTCCTGATAAAATAAATAAATAAATAAATATAGCAATGTCAAATTAATAATATTAAATTTTCACGAAAATATGACAATTAATTTCTTAGCTAATTTTCAAATTTATGACAAATGTTTGAAGTTATTTATTTAATAATTAATGGCATTATTATATAATTTATAACTAGAAAAATAAACAATTTTGAAGTGATGACAACTTATATCATAGCAACAGTTCATTGAAGTACTCGACACGTTTACGTTCAAATATATTTATCATAAGGAAAAAATGTTATAAGGAAAAAAACATTTACTTTTTTTTACAAAAATATGAAAAGAAGCCTGTGGCAGTTACTTATAATTTCTACGTCTTCGCTTATTTTCTACTTAATTTTCGTATCGAAATTTGTAATGTCACGCTTCTTGCACTGCTAAAGTCTCATAAGATCTCAGTCTTAACTATTTGATATTTTGTGAGTAAACTGGTTTGTATCCTGCAAGCTCGACTCTAGTTTATCTAAGATTTGACTTTTCCGACGTCTCATGATGCCTCTTGATCTTTTTTACAGATTTTGCTTAGCTTCGATCTTTCTCTTAGGAGCGTTTTATGTGTTTCTCTAAGGAGGAATGTGAAAAAGACGTAATTTTCCTCTAATCATTGTTTAGAAGCCTCTATTACTTTTCTAGCAATATAGCAGAATAGTAAATAAATATATAAATAATAAATTCACTTAAAAAATTTAGAACTCTGATTTAATTTTTCCCAACTTTTCAGGTACAATTCTAATTTAAATTGTTCCTAAATTAATTTTAAAAATATTTTTCTAAATTAAAAATAAACGTAAGAGAGAATATTATACACCATTAATTTTAACATTGTTAATATCCTCTAATACAATAAATTAAATAATATATAACAATATTATGTTAATGTGTTATGCATAATATTACAAGTACTAATAATACAGATTGATGATTATTGTGTTATATATAATAATCAAGTCTACTAAATACATATTCCTTAATATAGTATTACATATAGGCCTACTCACAAAATAAAGGAATGTTTGAATTAATTGCTAAAAGAATATAAAATATTTTATTAAATATCAATAAATAATTAATTTATAACGAAATAATAATAAGAATATTATATGTTTTTTTTCTAATTTGGTTCTTTACATTTAAAAATAAATTCGATTTAGTAAAGATGTGGGTTCGGATCTCATCGACAGGTTCGAACCCACTCCTCATCTCGTGAATGTATTTAGCCTAATTCGCTAGATTTTAATGTTTTAAAACGTTTTATATTATTGACGAATTAAAAAGGAAGAACAAGAAATGAATTTAGGCCATATCAGAGAAAATAATCGAAGTTTAATTTATGTAACTTATAACGATGTTTCTGTATTATTGGATTTTCAATGGATCGATTTAATAGTTTAGAACTTAGAAAGAGTCTCTGTAGACCTATTGCCCGAACACCTAATCTGTTGCATAATGAATAGGAGAGTTGCAACAACACTCGCTGGCCATACTTTAGCCTATTTTAACAAAGTTGTATTTGCTTTACATTGTTATTGCAAATTGAAGTTTCAGTTCTATTTACGCTATTCCCTGTAATAAATATAACAATTTTTCGGATGTTTTATTTTTAATTCTGTTATATATTTAACTATTTAGAGATTTTATTATTTAAAGTTTTCAGCAGTAAGGCATAATGCTGTGGTTTACTCATGGAGGTGTTGTGTGTGTGTTGAATCCCCGGAAGTGCAAGTGAACTTTGATGAAATTATAAAAGAGTTGAAGAAAAACCTAGAAAATTTAAATTCCTCCTATAAGTTGTATGTATTAGAATTGTAATGACTACGTTGTTTATAAGTAAACGGTACTTACAGTACGCTTAATTTTTCTTCGTTCTGAGTGTACTCAGTGTTTCCCAACCTTTTTGTGGTATGCCCACCTAAGCCTTTCTAAAATTCTTATGCCTCCCCTTAACATATACAGCAGCTATAAGGTTCACTTAAACTCTGGACGAGTCCATTTTCGAATTGCCCCCTTAACAATCGAATTGCCCCCTGTGGGGCGTGGGCCCACGTTGGGAAACACTGCTTTAGATCGTCCTTCCAGATCAATCTCAGAGCAAAATCATAGTTATGCCATTAGAGTCATGTACCAGACAAATATAGATTTTTAATTTTTATAATTTTCTTTTGGTAACACTTCTGAGAAGCTTAAATTTAAGATGATGTAACTTTAGAGGGCAAAATCAGTATAAAATTTATACATTTAAGTATTATACTGTTAGGCTTATATATATTACATTGAATAAAGGTGTAGCATATGAAAGGTAATATAAAAAATAATTATGTAATTTGAAAAACTTGTAGACCTATAAATTTCTACTGTCAGTCCGTCTGTTTGTCTTTCCTTAATCTCGAGAAAGAAGTTAGAAAGATGAAAGACGAAACCAGTTATGAAAACTTTAGGGACAGGAGATCCCTATTAACTCTATAAGAACATCCGATGCAAACCGGAAGTCATGTTATTTTAATTCAAAAATTTTTCCCCGAAAGATGTTAGATAGATGACTGGCGCGAGCTCTATTGTTAAAGAAAAAGTATGACGTACAGGGCCAGTTACTACTAATTTGAGGTGGAGAGCATATATTTTATATTAAATAACTTAAAAATATGATTAAAAATTGCAGCCCGGCATTGTGACGATGTCACAATAAATAATTGCTCGTTCTACTTTATACTCCATTGAAAATGGTTTAATTATGTATACCTATATCTGCATAAGTCATTTAATTATCTATATTTATACATAGGTATAGATAATTAGGAAAATACCTGTTAGGTGATGTTCTAACTTTCGTATATCCCTTTATTAACGTAGTATGTGAACTACAGTTTGATGTATAAAATAGTGTGATGAGAATTGCATGACCTATTTTCGTAATAAATTAATATTTTATAACAAAATTAATTTGATAAAATAATTAGTAATGTTGATAATATCTTTATCACATACGAAACTGTATAGTTGAATTTGTGGCGTTTGCTTGCTTTATATTGAAGCTTAAGATAATGCAGTGGCGATGCGTTAAAGAAGGGTTTATTGTATTAATATATTGTAAAAGTTAATGAAAATTCTAGATTAAATTTAAAAGACGAATTACGTAGAAATAAGCATAGGTTTGTCACAGATATAAATTTTAATTTTAATCAAGGTAAACAGGATAAAATTTTGCAAATATATATATTAGAAACAAAATTATTTATATTTTAATTAATTTTTAAATAAGAGAAAGTATTCTTAATGCTGATAGAATTAATTTATTTTAAAAATGACAATTTTAACTAAAAATTACTTATTTTTTAATTTTCAAACCTTACTTTTTTCTGGAAGAAACTTTCCTGTTATTGTTAAGATGTCAGGAAAACCCGTTTATCGAATGATAAAACTTTTTTTTTTAAAGAATTTTTTAAAAATTTTCTTATATATTTTTTAGGTCAAGCAAGAGGACATTTTAACTTTATTTTAAAAGTTAGAAAAATAAAATTTATAATATTTTGTAATACGCTGATAGATCAGAGACAGATTTTATATACTTATAAAATATTTTTTTGAATTATGAAAGTATATCGCTATATTTTAATTATAGGAAAAATAATGTATTAAAATTGATTTTTTATGCATAATTTCGAGCAGAAAGTTTTAAGTAATAAAAATTTATCAAATGAGGAAATTCTAAAATCGCAAATTTATATGTCACCGACATAGTAGTGAATATGCTGAGCAGAATAATTATATTTTTAATGCTCCAAGCTACTTGTTCAGAATTAGTTATCTTTTTTACTTGTAAAATATTAAAATTTATAGACTTTATACTGAAAGCTTATAAATTTTAACTAAATAAATGAATGGAAATGTTAAAATTCACACTCATATCCAAATATACTTTTATCTAGAATTTAATTTAAATAAGGATCCAAACCTAAATTTTTTTTAGAAAATCCAAAGAAAGTGTAGAGATTGTGTAGTGAACCAGCAATGAAAATTACATATATTCTATATTAATTAATTACTAGCAATTAAATCATATTTAAAGGCATTCCCCTTTTGATGAACTGATAAAATTTCAGGAATGATATTTTTATTTCCTTGTATTTAATTATTAAAATCTATCTATTAAATTAATTGATAATTCTAATGCCAAGTGTTTTTTACTCAATTTAATACATAAAACAGACTACGTAATTATCACGCTTTAATGTATAATGACAACATATATAAATAGAAAACAAGGGAATTACCTATGCAAGCTATTGACGACGAGTCGACATTTTGCATTCAAAACGGTTTGCTTGTCACAACGAAATTAATGATATAGATAATACAAAGTTCAGTCGGGTTACGACTATGGACGCCCTGATAACAGGACGACATCGTATCTGCCCCTCTATTTCAGGTATACGTCACGCCCTCCGGATAGCAATTGTTGGAGAAGAGAAAAGAGGGTTTAAAAAGACCACTCTCCGGGGAAATCAAATAGGATGTCGGCAATAGAATGACGTCATAAACATGACAGACAGGTGGTAGAGTGTTGTACACTTTAGCATCATTACGTATCTCGTGTCTATATCTTTGTTGACAAGTTACCGAGGTAAAATTGACAACTAACGAGCCACTGTATGTTTTTGGCTTGCCGGCTGTCAAAACTTTGAAATGGTCTAAGGTATAAAATCAATCAGGATCCTTCTTATAGGTAGTGTTTTGTCTGTGTTGTTCACGGTCCGATAGATGAAACTTTTTCATTTATTTCTAGACATAGCGAAAATGAATAAGAACGTTATTTTGCTACAAATGAAAGATGCCGATACTCACTCTTCCCCAACGAATATACCTTGAAATAAAGGCGTTAGAGAAAATCTGCCATAACAAAAATGAGGGCATGATTTCTCTCTATATATATATATTACCCACGTATGATTTTTCGTTACGGTAGATAAATGCTTCTTAATGGCTCAATTCCTATATTCCTGTGATTTAGATACGTCTTTCGAAAATTCTGATGGTTTTTATAGATACTGTATATAAGGTGTAGATATTAGTTATAAGCTGTGTTTATTGAGTCTACAAGTCGATTTCATATATCCTATATTGGAAATCTATACTTTGAAAGGTTTACACGAGAAATTTTTTAGGTTTAAAAATATGTTTTTAATATTATCAAATTTTTGAATTTTATTCTTTAAATATACTCTACTATATTTACGGTATTAAATGTTTAATAAAATGTAACATGCATATTAATGTGTTTATTTATTTCATGTAGTAATAGAAGCGAAAAGGAAGATCCTCATTATTCATGTCATCAGTTTAATTATTTATTATATTGCAGATGTCTATCTTGGTGGATAGATGGATCAATACATCTTCTCAAATGTGGATCAATTGTTAAGAAAAGCTTAAACTTTACCCAAACTACACAAAGTCCTTCTTCTCTAATTCATTAATGGAGAAATTTAAATCCATTAAGTGTAATAATGAATGATTAAATATAAACCTTATTGAAATATTTGGAATGTATCCGGAGGGTAGATCTAGAAGAAATGATGTATCATTCACTTCAAATGTATTTGAAGTTAAGACAAAGAAAGGGTTGTTAACTTCATAATTACGAAAGTCTCTTTCATGATATCAATTCAATATAAATAAACTGTTTCTTCCAATTTTCAATACATTTTATTAATAAACCTTTTAAAATTTATTTTATTTATACTTTAATTAATACAAAGCGTAGCTATTACTAGACTTTTTTCGTTATTAAGCCACTATAAAAACATTAAAAACATTTGCACGTAGAGGAGCTCGCGAACTACTGATTGTGAAATGAAGACATTAAATTACATTGAAACAAATATAAATATAATCGTAGTTTTTTTAATTCAGAAATCGAAAAAAAAATTAAAAATCGTCTAATGAAACAAAATACAAAAATTTGCTCTCTGATTCAAATTATAACTCATAATTTCATGCAATTTTTTTTGAAAAAATCACTTTTATAGACTGATTCTCTCAAAAAATATTTATAAAAATAGTAAAATAAATATTTTTATTATTATTCTTTACATTAAAGATTTTCATTTAAAAATATTTTATAAATTAATCGTAAAATATGATCTAAAAACTTTTTATAGTCGACTGCTGTGTATAGAATAAGTATAAATTTATCATTTACTTTTTTATTAGCATATTTTCAAGTCATGTATGCAAGTTTAATACTTTTAAAAAATGTAGAATTAAATAAAAAATATATAAAAATAAGGATTTCATATCTAATTCCATTCTTATTCAGAAAGATGGTCTAAAAACGTTCATCATCAACAACATTTTTTTTCTTTTTTGAATCGTATGTATTCTACGTGATTCATCGTTTGTTTTTAGGCAATTTAAATTAGTTAGACGAATAGATAAATAACTAATAAGACATAGAAATTAATTGCAAGCAAAATAAATATTAATTATATTTCCTTAGTTATTTTTCTACATTAAAAAAAACAACATATACATGAATCATAAAAATTTCCTAACATTTTAATGAATAGTTATTTAATTTTTATTATTATTTTATTTTGTAAAATGACGAAATATTTTAATACGTTTCTTAAATTTTCATATTAATTCCATTATAGCATATGCTGAAACGATATTATTTATTTATTCAACGAATAAAAAAGCCTATATTTATATATAGGTTGGGAAAATTTATTTANTAAAAATATATGCTGAAGGTTTTGTAACCGTAATTTCCCATCTGAGATATAACATTACATACTTAAAGTTGCATCTAAAAATAATCGAATTAGTAAAAGTAATACGAATATTAGATCAGTGGTTTCTTTTTAAAACGTAACTTTTTTTAGTTATATATATATATAATTCGATAGTAAAAAAATGTAGCCAAAAATATTATTTAAAGTAAATTTTTTCATCCAGAGAAGAAGTATTGCAGAAGCAGAGTGCAGATGTCATTAAACATTAAATAAAATATAACCAAAAAGAAAACCATTTCAGTCTTGTCTGAGGTGATTTCGCTACATTTTGTCAATTCTAACGACCGATCGAACTACACTGACGAGAGATATAGCGGAAACCAGACAGTATAAGGGAGGCCTTTAAACTGTGTACTTTACAACACGCTCCTGTTTACGAGTCTACAACGTGTGGCGTGAGTATACACGGTCACCTGACAGTAGAAAGCCGCTCAACACCTGAAATTATCGTAAATAAACTTTACGATTTTGTTGGTCGATCGTTTGGCTAAAGCTTAAAAGTACAGGTACAGTACTGAAGTCATTCGAGTCACTTGTGTTCTGCTCTAACTCGATGGACGTCGATCCATATTCGTCACCATTATATCAAAAAAAAAAAAAAATGTTATGATTAAGATTCTAGATAACACCAAAAAAATTTCTGTATTTATTTTATCTATATAAATATATTTTATTTTATGTAATAATTTTAACGGCGTTAAGTAAAAATATGTATTAATTAACGCCATGTAAAAATCGTAAATATATAATAAAATCGAATTAAACGTTAATTAGGGGAGAAAAAATTAATTAACATACGATTTAATTGATTTAATTAATCACAGTTTAATAGCGTTATTTTTAATGGTATAAGATTTATTTACGTCTTTAATAAAAGAGTTTTATATTATAAAAATTTTAATTTATATAATTAATAGATTATTTGAGGTCTTTTTTAAAGTATGAAACAACTTTTAATGGTGACTGTTCTCTATTTTTCTATCAATAAAATCAATATATCTACTTATGTTAAGGTTAAAAATATAACTTAATGTGATTCTTATATCGTCATTGCTAGTCTTTAAAAGTTTTATAATCGATAATATTCAATGAAACATATATTTAATGATTTTTTTATATAGATTTAGTAAACGCAAGAACACTTTTTTTACATTATTTTCTTCCTATATAATATATTTAAACATATAAAACTTTGTTATAATGTTTTAAAAATATTATAGAAGCGTATTAATTAGCATAAATTACGTAAAATCTTTATTAATTGGCTCTTGTATAATTAAAGTCTTATACAAGTTTACATAAATTATACTTATACTTTAAGACACTTTTATAGTGTTTTGTTTAGTTTTATTTATTATAATTGGCATTAACTGGTTAAAAGATAAGTTCTTGGAACTGATAGCAACGTATTTAGTTACTATAAGCTAGCATAACTTTCATAGATTTCAATATTTAATCCAATTATTGGTTCTAAGAAACCATATCATAGTAAATACCATCGGCATAAGAGTATATCTGATGATGAATAAAGCACCGCAGATAATTATTCGTGCTTCATATTTCAATTATTATAATTTTTTAATTAATTTAAAGTTTATAAAACTTACACCCAATAAAAATCATAAATAAGTATCAAAATAATGAACATTAAAGTAATTAAAACACGATAACCTACGACAAGACTGTAATGTAATTCTGTTACACTAACTGATAAATTTTTTAAACAAAAATTTATCAAAAATAAAATAGATTTTTATTAAAATATATGATTCTAATCAACTATCAATCTTCAAACTTATTAAATTACACTGAAAATCATTGTGGTTGCATTATAATTCGTGTAATTCGTATGATCAATTCTTGCATAAAGCGTAATTGCATATGATTTATTCGGTTGTCTCATTGTAAGGTTCAACAACTTTTGGCTCGATAATTCGTCTAAAATAAAATTTTATGGGCATTTTCTGAATTTAATGAATTATTCAAAACATTTCTTACTCGGGAATTAAAGTCGATTCTTCCATTAGAAATTCTGCTTAAAAATCGTAAAAATATTTGCTCTAAGCGCGTTATTTACGGAATGTTTAAAATTATTCACCATCGAATAACAGTGAATAATTAATTAAAAACAAATACAAAAAATATTTTTTAAAACGTGTGCAAATAAGACATTTACGCGTTTTAATTTCATTAAAAAAATGATAGCATATTACGCTGCAAGATCGTTATTTTGAATGGAATAAAAGGGTAAAAATTCTTCATAAATGATAGTACTTTGTGTATTGTAATGTATAAAAGATTATATTTTTGTAAAATTATAAACAAACCGTTTCTCCTTTCAGATAAAGCGTATAGTAACAGTTTACTACAGTTTGATTTATCCTAATGGTAGCATGTGAGTTCTCTTTTTTTTTTCTTTGACACATCCTTCCCTACCTCTCTGTATTATTAGGATCAACCGTTAGCTGGGTAAGCTGTACAGCGCCGTCTTTCGTACAAACTCCACATCAACCCCGGTAGAACGACCGGTTAGCAGTCAGTCTTCGGTTCGCTATAGAACTCTGCAGGCGCTTTATCCGCATACATCCCTATTTGCTAACTATAGGAACGATCTTTCATCTATCTATAACTGGAAGCCACCAGGTAAGACCTCACTTTAATTACTTTTCTATTAGATTATTAATTTCTTACGGGATTATGAACTGGAGATTGTTGTGTGGATT